CATTAGCATGTTAGAGTCATGACATGCCTTTGTAACTCCCATCAGGAAGAAGCTGGTAGTGACAGGCAGGGCTGGCACCAGGCAATGAAGCAACCAGAAAAGGCAACAGATTGCCAAGGACAGCAAAAGAGGTGACCCAACTGCTATTGATGGCATATCCTTGAAAAAAGGCTAGGTGCGCTGCTGAAGTGGACAACAAGAGATCTTTTTAACTCCTACATCTAGATCCTTTTTACTCTGTCCCTCTACTTCTCTTGGCTCTGCTCTTACTGTTCAAGTCCTTTCCCTGTTCCCAACGTTGCTCCTTCTCCCATGTGTTTAAACAGTTTTTGATAAACCTGCAGCAGAAGTGCTGAAATGACAGGCAAGGCACCTTCTTTCAGCTTTGATACAAAAAGGACCTTTGAAGAATAATTCTGTCAGGCTCTCAGAAGCAAGTGCAAATTTGATTCTTCAGAGGTGTGTAATTCAGCCAGAAGCCCATATGTGTTCACAGGAATAGCAGAAATTGCCTCCTTGACATCATGACAACATCTCTTTTCAAATTGAAATTTCTTAGTTCAAAGCCTTGAAATGTGAGAGCATCTCAGTGAAATGAATGTAAACATATTTATAACACATTTTCCCCTTGTTCTACACTAGAACAAAGACATTCCTCCCCCACTCAAAAAAAAAAAAAAAAAAAAAAAAAAAAAAAAAAAGGCAAGTCCAAAAGCCCAAGGCCTGAAAACCCAGGGGCAACATGTCAGTGTCAGAATACCAAAGAGGAAGACTTAAGCAAGTCCACTGCTACAAGCTCCACATTCTTTAAACTATGGATGCTAGAAACCATCTAACTGAAGCTTGAAGAACTGAGGCAAGCCCCCACCTACCCGATTTTGATGAAAGACATTTGCACCAGCAGATAGGTTCCCTCCCTCCTGAAGCTGAAAGTTCATTTTAGTTCTAGGATTGCTCAGTAATTCTGCCAAACATAGCAAGACTGCAAATCACTGTTTTCCGTAAACTCCTGGCACATACAATGAAGATGCCCAATCATACAGAGCCATCTGGTCATGACACACCTCTTGAAAAGTATCGAAATCAGACTTGCCCAGAGAGAGGGGAACCCAGAACAGAGCTGTAAGTAACTTAAATCTGCATTAAGGTCAGTAACTGCTGGATACATTTATGGTCCTGCATCCATCCACCAGATTGCCCTTTCAATGCTCTTTCTAAATGGTTACTGCTTTTCGTTTCCAATGCTTTAAAATTTATTATAATTTAACATATCTACAGCTCCTATCCTATGTTTCCCACAGTAGCAATTAAAATATGCAGACTCCTGCACATGATGTCTCCCATTATTTCTTCTAATTTAGGGACTACTGTAGTTTATTTGAGAAGAAAATATGTGGGCCAAAAGTCATATCAAAATCATAGAAAACCACAAAAATAAGGACTTCAAAAGATGTCAAGAATTCAGCTTTCAGCTCAACAGTATCTTAAGGTTACATTAGTTAAGCAGGACAGTTTCAGTATACATCCATCCATAGCACCATCATACCTTCTTCCAAGTTGCACCACATTTTTTGATGACTTATCTCTTGCATTTTCCCAGTACAAGAGAGACATGGAGCTACTGGAGACAGTCCAGCAAAAGGTCATGAAAATGTTTAAGGGACTGGATCGTCTCTCGTAGGAAGAATAGTTGAGAGAGCTGGGACTGTTTGACCTGGAGAAGAGAAGGCTTGGGGGAATCTTATAGAGCAGTCTTTATATACCTGAAAGGAGGGTGCAAAGACAACAAGTGTCAGGCTCTCTTTGGTGGTGCCCAGTGACAGGATCAATCAGTGGGCAAAAAGTGAAACAGGAGATTTCCTCTGAGCATCAGAAAAAACTTTTTCACTGTGAGGGTGACTGAGCACTGGCACAAGTTGCCCTGAGAGGTTTTGGTGTGTCCCATCTTGAAGATATTCAAAAGCCAGCTGGACAGAGTCCTGGGCAACCACCTTTAGGTGGCCCTGCTTAAGCAGACACGTTGAATCAGATGACCTCTTCCAACCTCAACCATTCTGGGAGTCTGTGAACTAACACAGGGCTATCTATCTCTCTTTATTCCCAATGATCTGAAAAGTTCAGAAAATAAATTAAAACCTCCAAAGAAATCTTTATAACATCTTTACAGTAAGGTAAAGCCTCATCCCTCTCCTCCTCCTTCTCAAAGGAGCTGAGAAACATAAAAAATTATTAATGCTTTTTATTTACTGAGCACAGTGTCCATCAAAAGTAAAATAAGAGGAAATATTCATTTGACTTGCTTCCAAGAAAGCAATTAGATGAAACAAATATGTTGAATAAAGTATTTTACTGGCAGGATGACTAAGAGATCAAGAACATTTATTGATCTACAGTCTTGGACCCAAACAGCAGAAATCATATCAACTACCTAAGCTTTAAAATTAACTCTACCCTCTGCCCAGACCTCAGGGACACTCAGCCTCTTTCAAAGTACCTTTGTGGAATCTTAGTAAGCATCAATTAATTATTTAGCAAAATACTTTTTTTGCGTCTCAGGTAAATCTGTCAGTTTATCCAAGACTTGCTCCTAGTGCCTGGTGATCAAAAGAGAGGACATTCATGGGAGGACATAGTCTGGAACTTCATGGTCCAGGTCAAAAAACTTTAAGCCCAAAAAGCCGTGCAAGTGTCAGAAAACCCTCTCACCTCAGTGACTCAGTGAAATGTTGCCAGTGGGGCCTACGGCATCATGGCCATAACACCAGAGGCAGAAGCCCATCACTTCACAAAGCCCTACTGGACTTTTGTTAGGGCTTCTATTTCTGAACATATTCTCAATCTCAACAAACCAGTCATTCGTGAACAAATACCTTGCTTTTCACCAAGCTTTTTAGGTGCTTCTGTAAGTATTGAATTTATGGTTCTATATTCTCTTTTCTCTCTCTGTTCTACAGAAATTAAATGAAAATAAAGTAGAAAAGTTATCATAGGGTAAGCCACAACAGACACCATACATCAGCAGTTACTACCTAAATACATACCATGCAACAAACTCAAGGTAACTTGAGCTAGATTATCCTTCAATGAAAGAGGAATAGTCTGACTGGCTTTGCTAAAGAGTACAAACATGGAACAGAAGCAGTTTTCTTGGAAAAGGTGCCAGACTAAGTTCATAACCTTGTTTACTCACAAGGTAACATCTTTGGGTTTTCATACCCTGAAGCGGAATTTAGGATGCACACACTGGAGTAGGCATTTGGTTGTGCAGTCACTTTCAGACAGTAACCAATCTTTAGATAAAACAGCTTAGAGTAGCTTAGACCTCAAATTAAAAGGTAAAATACAACAAATATGCACGACAATCAGAAAAAGTAGTCAGAAAAAGAGAGGTTAAAAAAACCCCAAAAGTCTCACCAGAGTAGTGTAGGAAACTGTATATCAGATTTCCTAAACATTTAAGTTCTTCAACGTATAATTATTTCATGATATCTTCTCTATCATGGGTGCCCTCTCTCCACCCTCCTAGAGTTCTTGGAAGTACCATTTTGAGTTGCATACACCAAAAAAAGGAGCTCAGACCATCTCTATTTAAGTACAGTGTTAAAGAATTATTAAAAGGCTGAGCTCAAGAACTTCCCCTCTGGACAAGACCACTTGCCATAAACCTGACCAGGGTGAGAGGCAAGAGCTGTGGGGAGAGGGCATGTGCAAGTATGGCTGAGTCATCTTGAAGAGGAGATGCTCCTGGGAAGGGAGGAAAACAGCACACACTCCTTCCCCCTGCAAACCTGCCCAGTGGTTAGGACACTTTCTTGGCTCATTTGTGTTGCCCTTCACAAGTTTTTGGACACATGTCCTACACAGAAAGACACAAAGCAACAAAACAAATTCTGCAATACAACCAGCATTCAAAGGCCTTTCCTTGCCTGCCGTTCGCATGAAATAGGCTCCCCACCTCCGTAAGAAACAACTGACTGCTAGGATTGACAACAGATTTTACTCTTATTAGTCAATAATATCACACCCTAACAAGACACTGTCATTAGACACTGTGGAGGTTTAGAAATGCTTGCCATTTGTTTCAATCTCAGTGTAAATGGAGAGTGTTGTGGGGATTTTTTTAGGCTTCGTTTTCTATAGAAACCAAGCCACACACCGAGACTGTCTCGCCTTTCACTTCACCCCAGACCCAAGGGAGGCTCCACAGAGGCTAACTGCATCTCACTGTCAGAGCAGTAAAATTCAGTAGTCTAGACAAACTGAGCACCATTTAACACATAGACAGTAATCTCATAAGGCTTTCAGATTTTGTACTGCAGGAAGTAAGGTGAAGCTCACAGAAGAGAGGGCTACTCTGCTTGCAAACTTTTGCACATCAAAAAAGCCAACCACATGCAAGACAAACTTTATGAATGCCCAAAATACTAGGCAGACTTCACTTAGAGCTTCCCTTTCCTTAGGCTACCAAGTCATTTGCCACAAAACAAATTCACAGGCTTCCTCACAGTGTTTGCAGAAGTAAAATGTTAAAATTTAATTCAAGTATACACTACTAGATGAAAGAGCCTCTGTTGATTCTTACTGGTTTGTAGTATTTTTTAGTTATGAAATAGCCTCTTATTCAGACTTCATCTCCCTACTGCAGCAACGTCAGATTCTTTATTACTTTTTTTTATTGTTATGTTTAATACACTTCTAGTAGTGAAACAGATTCCCCTTTCTAATTAGGTCTAGCAATTAATAACTGAAATTAAACTGATGATGATACAGTTCTGCTAAACAAATAATCGAAGCTGAAATCAGGGTTAAGTGTTTCCATAAATTAGTGTTGACATCAACAGCAGCTTATTTTGAATTTTACATCTAAACTGATTTAAAAAGAAAGGAAAAACAATTTAAATCTCTCTCATTTATTTGGCTGCTCCCCACACTCAAGAAATCAGTCCCTCAAACAGATGACCCTTCTTATCATTGAAGTTGTTATTAAGAAATCAACCAACCTTAGAGGATTTTCTTCGGCTTCTTCTCGTCCAAACCACCACTAGTTTATCTGGCTGCCTGTTGAAGATAAGGAAGAAACAGCTTAATTTAGAACAAGATCAATATGTAAACAATCTATAATAAAACTCTTGCAATACATAATCACATCCTTAGTGGATACATTATCTCCTAAAAATAGTTCGTCTAAAAACCACTCTCAGCATCGGTCATTTAACAGGAAAAATAATGTGTAATTATAGAAAAAGGCTCCTCCAATCCATACACTAATGTCATTGTTCTCCTCCTGCTTTCCTTGCCTGTGGGGCATCTCCCTAGAGCCAGCAGCACACCTGAGCAGGAACTCTTCCACCGGGCAGAGAACAGGATCCAACCTCTTTAAAGACACCTTGAAAACAATCTGATACCCAAAGTAAACGTAAGTGCAAATTCTAGTTTGAATTTCTACACAGGTAATGCTAAGATCAAAGAAAACAGGCAATTTAATTTTGCATCCCCAAAAGGATTATTTTTTCTACTTGAATACCTCTAACAAGAGTAATCAAGTATTACTCCTCAAAATCTCCTTGGACAACCAGACAGGTAAATCAGCGCTTCCTCAACTTCTACTCAGAAGGACAAACATGTTGAAACTCAGCATGCCTCTCCAAGCAATTGTTTATTTGGTATTTGTAATGAAGTAGATGGAAACCTCAATAAAGGACACTTTCAATACAAATTATTTTCTCTTTAAATTTCTTAAGATTTATTTCTTGGCTAATAGTTAGAGCCCTATTACTTCTACATTATTAATTTCACAGTTATCTCAGTGATTTTTGATACTGACCTAACTTCCAGGCTTTTTTTTTTTGGTCTATGATACACTTCCTATCACATGACCACATTTCTGGTCCCACTTCCAGATCCAGGACCCCTCTTCCAGAGACTCCTGACCCTCTATTCTGGCCGATGACCCAAATTCCACCAACAAGCCTGACTGCAAATCCACCCACAAATTATTTTCAATGGAGTTCACATCTCTGCTTAAAAGTACTAAACCTGCAACTCTGCCTGAAAAAAAAAGTGCTACTCAGATTTTTGAGACACTGGTATAAGAATCCTTGCCTTTCTAAAGCCACAAGAAACCCTCTTTCATGTTAAAAAAAAAAAAAAAATCATGGGGGGAAAAAATGGATGTAACTGAGGAAAAGTCAAGATATAATGTGCTCAAATCATTACCAAAAGATGCACCCCAAAAAAATCCACACAAGTATTCCGAATATAAAAAGCAGTGTTCATACTGCTATCCCAGTATTTCATCACAGGGAGACTATCTACTTCATAACCAACTTTTCAAATTAAAATCCAACTGGTTTAATAGTTATTTTAAGCACTGAAGTGCTGGCCACTGTGTTATGTAACTTCCCACTGAGCTGTTCATTTCTGCAGGCCACAATAAAGCTAATACATCACCTAAAATTTATATTTAAAACTCAGCAGAACTAAAGTTCTTCTGAAAAACAGAGTTTAAGACAGATAGTGCCTTACTCCTTTAATATATTCCTTAACTTCCAGGTTGGGATAAATTGAAAGTGCAATAGCCTACTGCATTTTAAAATGTGTAAATTCACTCTTATGGCTTGTTTAGGTGACCTAAAGTGTAGGTCGGCTCTGCTTGAGGCTTCTCCTGTAAAATCTAGCTTGGTAATGAGGTCATCCTGTTGTACTTCAAAAGCTCTTTGCCCACTTGGGGTCAGATGTGAGGTTCTCATCTGTTGGCACATAGCCCCATTCACTTTGAGTGAGGGAGCTGTGAGGGAGCTGTGTTTGTGTCACCAGGAAAAAACAACACCTCCAAGGAATTTCCTTGAAGCAAAGAAATCCAAGCCCATGCCTACAATAAACAACTTCTTCCAGAGTTATTTCACTTCACACGTTAAAGCTGACTTATTTCAGAAACTAGCTCATCAACCAAATTCAATTTAACCTTGACTCATTCTCCTAAACTTGCCTCTGAGTACAAAAAAACTGCCAAAAGCAGGTGGAGGGAAGGAAACATTTTAAAAATGTGAAAGAAAGGTGCATTTCTGCAGTACCAGTGGCTACACTGAAGACAACCCTCCCTCAGAGTGGGACTCTGTGTCCCAGGAATCACAAATAAGAGCTTCAGTAGGAAAAGGCAGAACACCACCTGCAGAGATTAACAGGAAGAACACAATTCCACACTGCCACCAGCTCTTCACCTCTTCTCCCTCTCATCTGAAGGGACACAGTGCTCGGCAGAATGTCTCTTCCCTATCTCTTCTCGCCAGGTCGGCTAGACACTACACTTGTGGTGGCCTTAACCTGCTCAGGTGTACAGGAACACCAGCCAACCAAAACATGTACGTGACAAGAAGACGTTCTTCACGGTATACTCAGTAGATCATGAAAAAAATAAATTCCAACACATGGATATCAAGAGTAAATTTCCACAGCTTTTCATCAGAAGAGCACTCAGGTCTCCAGCGATCCTGTGAGGGAGGCTAAGAAGGATCCTACACAAGTCAATTCCTTTCTGGCAGCTCCAATTCAGGTAACAATGATGCTGCTTTGTCCCTCTAGATCTATTTTGATCTTGTCTTATTTATCTTGGCATCAGAACTGATTTTTTTCTTACAACAGCACTGGATCATCTCCCCAGGAGTAAAACATGACACAAGCTGGAAAAGTGAAGCAGCACACCCAGTTCCACGTGGTGCCAACATCTAAATCAGGAGGCCAGCCCCAGTGGAGATGGCCCAAGAACATTTATACACATGAGCAAACAAATGGGCCAAGAGAAGCAAGGGAGCAAAGCAAAGTGAGGAAACAGGAGGCGCGTTAGTGTTAGTGCCAAAGCAAGTTGATTCAAAGTAGGAATGAATCCACACCTGCAGTCCTGCAACATATAGTTTTTCTAGAAGAGACCCATGGCTATTCCAGATGCTTCAAAAAAAGAAAGAGTGAAGAAGAGGCTATATATAGACACAACAGAGTAATTCTGAAAAACTAAGTAGCATAAAACAATTGTCAGGTATTGACAAGCCTCAATTCACAAATCCCTCCCAGTCTGGACAAGGGAAGAATAAATTAAAAAAAAAAAAAAAAAGCAGAGGTGGGCAGTTAAACATGACAGTCATGTCCTGTGATACTGCCATGTGCATGTCCCATGTTGGTAACTGATCTTACATTTAATTCTAATTCTCTTATTTAAAGTGTGCCACTGCTTTCTTGGCTTTACATAGGTTGTCAGAGACAGCTGGTGCTTCAATGCAGTTCTCCAGTGGGAGCTGCATCTGCATCACATATACACACAGTTGTCACCAAGCCTGGATTTAGTTCCAAATTTTGAAAAACTCCCTTGGCCAGGAATATAAAGAAACACACTACCGTGAAAAAGCCAACTAGAGTCTCAGTTTCGACTGAGAAAACCAAGCCATGCCGATGAGGTAGCACAGGCAGGATTTACTCCCCTAGGCTCCTTCACTGGTATATTTATTTTGTTAAGTACTGAGTATACTTTGCTCCTTCAACTTCAAGTATGAGAGAAATCCACATCCAGAGGTACTTTGCCAAAATAAAATGAGGAAGATCATCACAATATGGGAACAGAAAATTTAGCAAAATGAAATGGGGAGAGAAGGAAAGAAAATATCCCAAAGGATGAGCTTCTCTATGCAGCATACCACATGCTTAACTGAAAACAGAAAGAACAGCAGTTTTTCTAAGGGATTTTCTTCAAAAAAGTCACAAATCCAAGAATTTAAAAATATCTCCATAGAACTGTTTTACAAAGCCAGGAGCAACCTTCTCTTTCACAACCTGTTCATTGCTCTTTTATGCCAATATACTTCTAGAAGAAAAAGCCCAGCTCATATTTTAATCAGGAAATTTGCATTCAAGGTTATTAGTGATGTCTCAGTGCTAGGAAACAGCCAAACCACCTAATGTAGTTTGCTCGTTTAAAGCATTTGATATTTTCCTCCTTCAGACTTCTCTCCTCCTTCAACATCATAAACCTGGGCTGCTCATTAACCAGAAATAAAAGCAAATAAAAATCACTTCTGAAGAATTAGGCTGAAGACCAGTTTTGTAAGTTTACAGGTTTACTTTGTAAACTCGGAGATCATTCCAAATACAAAATCCACAATGGTGCAAGATGAACAATATTAATGATCAGCTATTAAAAAAAAAAAAAAATCCTGTGCTGCATGAACAACATTTCTTATTCCTTTAATCCCAGCAGGCTTTAGACAGTCACTTACTCAGCTCCAACAAAGCCAGTACGTTTAAGGTAAGGAACAACACAATGCTAACCCTAAGATGATGGGGTTGGAGGGGAAGAATGAACTGGGCTGTAGCTGAACAGCTACATCTCCACACTAAGTAATTACTTTAATCTAGACAATTCAACACCACCAGCCTTTCAGCAGGAGTATTTCATACTGTACTGGAATCTAACATGACTGCCTTGGTGGTGCTTTGCGTTTCACCCCATGCCAGTACGCAGCATTGCCAAAGCAGCGGCAGATCCCTGGCAGGGGGAGCCGAAGGAAGTCAGCAGCACTGGGGTGTCAGACACTGCCACCGTGAAAGGCAGGCACCCAGCAGCAGGTACTAAAAGATCATGTTTTATAAAGCCTACCATAAACTTGCATTTGCTACTTATTCATTTTTGTGTGGTTCACACAAAACTATTCCTGAAGAAAGGCAGTTTATAGCAGTAAACTTATTTTAGTATTTACAAGTGAAACTTACTCAGCAAAGAAGCAGGGAAGATTATGATTTCAAAGTATGTGGCTCAGAAAAAGAGCTTTATTGGTGCCCCGCATACCAAGTAACTAAAATGAGCTTTAAAATGCAGATTAATAAAGCATCTATAATTCAAAACCATGCCTGCTTTTCCTGACAGGTGGAAGCCATGATTCTGGTATCTTCAATTCTCCTGTTGAAACAACTGATTAAAGAAAAAAAAAAAAAAAACAGAACCAGACTTTGCCATATCCATAATTATTAAAGTAATAAAAACATTCCACAGACTGGAAAAAACTATGTCATCT